TCTGGTTTTTGTAATTCACAGATAAATAAAACACAAGGTATATCCAAAATGAGGTCGTTATAGACTACACACTAATATTGAGCTGATGAAAAACTCGACTGTCTCATCGTCTGAAAATGTTTCTTTCCCATCAATGTTTTCACTCGAGCGGCTTTTGCGGCTATTGAAGGATTTTTCGAGCTTTTACATTCTTTAAGTGTTTTCAACTTTTGGACATAAAATTTTGTTTTTGAAAATTTAAAAAATAGATTTTCTCAATCAACTCGATGAGCTCTATTCAACGATGTATAAAGAGTCGGGAAAAAAATTTTCTTTAATTTTGCATTGTGCGCACCTTACACAGACAACTTGGTGGTACTTGGCGAAGTTATGGACAACGATATACAGCTTTTCGAAAACCTGGCGGTTTTTCATATAATTATCACTTTTTTTAGAAAACAGTTTATATCATATGGACTTCTACCAGTGATGATCGTATTTTTCGAGTACACCATAAAATTATGAAGGAATTTGGATTGATTCAACCGAGTTATCAAAGTGAGACTCTCTGCATAAAGAGTGAATGGCACTGTTCACCAAATGTAAGTTAATAATCAAAAACCACCTGACAAACCCTTAGTCAGTTTCACAAATTGATTACGTTATATCCTAGTAGTCCTCTAATAGAATAGTCTTCAATTCACTCTCATGCTCTATTTCACTGAATTGAAATTAATAATAATCATTATCATTTCTATTTGAATCCGAAGATATTGACATCGGTTTTATTTCTTGTTCTAACTAATTTGCATCAGAATCTCTCTTGCTATTTGGTTATTGTTATGTCACGCACCAGAGTCGTGCCGTAAGGGAGAAGATCGTAGTTAAGGTTATTGTGCAAGTATACATTCACGGTTATGGTGCAAGACTATGGTCAAGATTATTACATTAGCCTTAGTCAACGAGATAGAACAGTTCTAGGATGGTGCAAGAACCTAGAATATGATGTGACGTCACAGTATTGCATAATGGTAATCAGGGCATCAGGCTTCGTTTCTCTGCAGATTGTGCAACGGCTTACGATTCGTAAGATTTTATCTACTTCTTTTCATATTGTTATTACCATTTAAAAAAGTCTTTAAAGATTCTGATAGACTGATGAATGGAGAATCATTTGAGACATTCTACAATTTGGCGACTTCATGATAAAATTAGGGTGTTAGTGTTAAATTTATGTGAAATCGAAAAACAAAACCTAACGACGATATCGAGACAATTTCGAAGAATCATCTTATCAAGGAAAGAAGCTTTTTAAGAAAATGTTTTTTACTTTGACAGTCGAAATTTAACATCACAGAACAGGCCATTTTCTAAAGAAAAAGCTCTGTAAAAATCTTTTAGAATCTTATGCATCCTGTGTGAGATTCTGATATTGTCTCTGCTGTTAAAATGAACGATGGTTCCTTTAAATACTTTGACATATAACATGTTAATCTTTTAATATCATTTCATATGCAAAATCAACATTTTATCTGTTGCAACCACCCTGATTGATATAATCTGACCTGATTATTAAATAAAATCCAACTAGCGACACTTCGCTGATCAAGTCTTTTTTCCGCTTTGGTCTGAAAGCCTCAGAGAATTTTTTGAACTTTATTTTCAACTGGAGTCCTTTCATGAAACCTAGAATTACATAGACTATAAGTATGAAGGTTTTTGAACAACGTTTAGTATCTAAAAATGGTGCAACAAAAAAGCGTGTCACAGCATTACTTTACAAAATCGACTTTTCTAGGCGTGTGGAAGGATGTGGAAAAAAGCTTTTTTACCAAAAGAAAGCCGGTTAGCTCCTCTATAAACTACATGCATAACTAGCGGATGTCTTCTTGTTTTTAAGTAACTTCTGTATTTTTGACCGCATAGACTTCGCTTTAAAAGACTCACCATTTCAATCTCAACAAAAACATACCGAACATTTTCTATACACTATGAAAATAAAAGAATATAGAGGAAATACAGCGACGCTTCAATCTCAACAATTTTCTAACCCAAAAAAGACTGTTTTGGACACATCTTCATGCAAACAAAGTGTAATCAAAATGTATGTTCCATTGCTTCGAAAAGTCATCTTTCTTTTCGTGTATCATTGATTTACTATAAACGTGTGCTCCGGCACAAAAAGTCAATTTTATCAAAACTGAACAGAAAAGGAAAAATTTAACCTTTTTGCCTTGACACGGGAAAAGAAATGGAGCTATTGAACTTTCATTATTCGGATGTGACAGAAGAATGATTCTTCCGATTTGTTTGTTGATAATAGATTAATTATACGAATTCAACAGCCATTGTGCGATTACCACTGTGATTATCATCAGCCATACAAATATATGAAAATAGACTATGAAAAATTGTGTTTCATCACAGAAAAGATCTGTCACTTGAAGATGCTTCCTTGTAAGAATCAGAGTTTATTAACCACCGTTGATCCCCAGCTGATATTTTGTATAAAATCGGCGAGCCTTATGAGTTCTCAGCTAAAGCGTTTAATTGGCAAACTAAAAATACCTTTTTTTTCATATAATATATGTAAAAAGTCTTGAGATTTGCATTCATACAAAAAACCAAATGAAAACGAAATACGATGTACATATAAAAACAAAAGTAACACGACTATTATGAGCAGGTTTATACAACACACTCACAAACAATAAAAAATGTTACATGCACTCACTTATCTAAACGATCCAAAGAATGAGAAAGATATTGCGTAAAAACTAAATAATTAACTAAAAATATAGTGGAAAAAAACAAAGAAATACATGTCATGAATAAGATTTTATTCTAAGTAAAGCTCATTCATCATTGTTTATGGCACACGAGACCATAGGCGAGAGAGAAAAAGAAAGAGAGTGAAATGGCAATGTCAAAAAACAAAAAAATGAGAGATATACATAACAAAACAAACAACACTATATTTATTCGTCACCGAGTTATGTTAGATCAATTTGTGGAAAACTATAACTCGAGAATTGGCGGTTATATGTACATTACCGAAGACAAGACAAAGAACTCTTTTGATAATGTCAGTAAAAGCAAAGCGGAAAAAAAAGTTTTATATGAAAATAGATGATAACTCGGACTCATGAAACACAAAAATTCTCTCGCAAAAAATTTTCTATTTTATTTAATTATCGCTTTATGTCACCGACGCCACCGGTGGTCACATTATGCACTCGGAAATTTTTTGACAATAGTCGAGGACGAAAAGAGATAATAGAAAAGAATAATTTACAATTTCAAGAGATTCATAAGGCAATCTTTTTTTTATTTGTCTAAATTTGTTCGCTTTTACAAGCTCGATCAAGAGTCTGAACTACTTAGCTCAGTTTTTCCTACTTTTGTTAGGCATGCACCGGCTATAATCGATTTAGAGCATTTCGTCGAAAGCAATTGCGGCAGAAATATAAAACATGAAGGGTTCCACCATGGCTCATAATGTAGAAAAATGTTTGCTCTACAACACTCACTCGTTAGAAAAATTTTAATATACGTACTTTTCATGCAAACCGCTTCCGAAAAAGGTGAAATTTATCGGTTATAATCAGTGTATGCCTAATCGATTAAGCCTTTTTACGTGGCTCAAAATTCCTATTAATGTTAATGACCAGCAAATGCGTAGTAAAACTCTCCTAAAATGTAATACTGCCAGAAAATGATTTCCAGAATATGTCAGAATAGTGAAGGAGACCAAATTTAGCCAATGTCAATTTAATTGGATTTCTCAAAAGAACAGGCACTTTATATGGTTTCGGTTTAAATTACTTTTCCAAAGAAAAGGTAGAGGAGTGAAAACAAACAAGCAAACATTTAGCAAAAACACGAATGTCCTATACGATATAAAAAGTAACTAAGATTTAACTATTGTACAAAAGACACCTGAGTTTTGCTGTTTCTTGTTTCAATTGAGTCACTTCCACGCGTAATTTTAAGTTTTCTTGTTCCAATAATGCAGCTCTATAATTAAGAGAGACATGTACATTGATAATATGGTCACTAAGAACGAAATCGAAGCAAAATTCATTCAGATCGAATCGACTTTACTACTGTTTTTCTGTATCTCAACAGATGAATTTTCATTCTAATCAACAACTCATCAGTCGTTCTAAAGATATAGGAAGACATTCTCAAAATCATGATCAAATCTCTCTTACAAAAAAGCTATTTTCTTCTCTACTATTTGAACTTTTAAACTTTTCTCATGGATAGACTGAGTTTGCGGAATTTATACGCCAGCTTGTTCTATCATCAAAAGCGAAAATAGGACTGATGTCTGATTGATGAAAGATTAAGTGCAAAAATTTCTTACTTGCTTACTATTCGTAGACGTATACGACATAATATAGATAAATGATTTTGCCTTACCTAATAGCGATCTCATCTTCTTTTGCTCTTCGTGCATCTCTACTTCGTTTCGCGGCTTCATTATTTTTTCTTCTTCTTTCCCAATAGGCTTCATCTTTCGTAGCATTTAGATCAGCATCTTGTGACGATTGTAACTGAAATCCATTTATTAGAGGATCTTCATTATAACTGGTACTATTCGTATTATTGTTATTGTCAATTATCAATGTATGTGAACGATGACGTTTTTTAGGTGGAAGTTGTGTGGGTGAAGTGGATGATTGTGAATGTTGTTGCTTTTGCTGTTGTTGTTGTTGTTGTTGATTACCATCAACAGCCAAAGTTTTCAAGTGTGTTTCATTTAAACGTTGTTGAAGACGTTCATGTGTATGTTGTAAACGTTTTCGATATTGACGATGATTTTGAGAGAATGCCGGTGATTTTATATCGTTTGGAGTAGAGGGTACAGACCTGGATTGCTGTTGCTGTTGTTGAACTTGTGCTAACATATTCAAAACATTATTGGGATGTTCAGATGTTTGAAGTAGTGGAGAACAATAGCCTAAGGATAACATCAATGGATCTCGCGGATACCTGTAGAAAATCAAAGACAAATTAACAATATACTATGAATATTTTTTTGTTTAACTCACGCTTTGAATGGACGCGTTGGTTTTCCATTTTTATTTGTCATCATAAATGGAAATACTGAAGAGTTGGAAACAGATGCTGTGTTACTTGATGAAATGGGAGTTGTGGGGGGTGTTGATACCGCTAAAAGATAAAATAACAAATAATAGTAATGATGAAGAATAAAATTTACACATTTACAGTTCATCATTAATCAAATATTCATTTGACTGATTAGTAATGTCTAATTTCGATGAGTGAGCTACGAAATTAAAAGTCGCTTGATTCACCTCATCAGAGTGTACTACGTGAGAAATTTTAATATATTAGAATAATATATTCCACATAATATAAAAAGTTTCATTAAGATTAATATTTACTAAAAGTATTTTAATTCACACCAATATACCACATTAAGAAGAAGTTAAACGTGCATTGAATTAGTTATTTTGTACAACAAAAAATTCATGATGCTACAGACATAGTTTTACTTACTATTGATCATCCCCGATAATAACAATTTATCATACATGGATGCAGCTGTTTCTGATGTTGGAGGAGACGGCAAATTTCTTGTCTAAAAATGATTAAGATTTAGTCTACATGCAGAACTCGATTAGTGTGGCAATGTCATGAATTACTTACGGTAACAGGTGATCGTTCTTGATGATATACCGATGATATTTCACTTCCTTCATTATCACTATCTTTGATACTCATCGTATCGTCATCATCCAGACTATTTCTTTGACGTGAGGAAAAATCAATTGGACTATCAATCTGATTATGCGGATTTGTTGGTGATGGTGAAGAAGCGCTAGTTGACGGTGGTGATAAAGTTTGATGAGTTGATGTTTCATAATTTTGTTTTTGTTGAAGAGCAGCAGCCGCAGCAATTACAGCCTAAAACAATGGTCACTTAAATATTATGAAAATCATTCGAAAAGTTTTACGTACAGCTACAGCTGTTGCTTGTGGATTTTGTTGTATAATTATTTTTAGTAAAACATCTTGTTGTGATTGAGTCATTTCAATTCCATTCGATGTAGATGCTGTTGCTGTATATAAAGCAGCTAATTGTTCGGCAACCTGTTGTTGAATTTGATTATTTGTTGATGATGATGATGACATTTTTCTCATTTCAACTGGTATATCATTGAGCATAAATTTTTTATGAGAATTTTGGTTGTTTGCTTTTTTGGTTTCATTTTTTTTATTCACTCCGCCAACTGCCATTAATTTTTCTTTTTTTGAACAATCATATTCGATTTTTTCAACCGCTTGAGCTAGTAGTTGTAAACGGTGATGTTGATTAGTTTGTTGTTGTAACGGAGGTGGTTGATCGTTTGATGACTTTATTTGAGTTTCAAGCAAATGATTCGATTCATTTGAATCAGCCGGCTAAAATTAAAGATAACAAATGGGAATTAGAATCCGTAATATTACGCAAGTCTGTAAAAAATAACAACAGTATTTTTGACACAACGCAATTATTTTTTTATATATATTTTAAGTGAAGATCACGTGTAACGATCACATGTGTTTCATATCATAGAGCAAACATAGTAAATGGATACACCGTAAAACTTTACTCAGTATGTTTACAAAAAGCGTGTTACATCTTCAAAGGTATAAGCAAAGATTTGATAACACATATGAAAAAATTTAATTTTGTTTTAAACTATATATATCTGGTATATACAGCACTTCTAAGTAAAATGTGGACATAATCACGTAATTTGTTTTGCGTCACATGAAAACGCAAATAATGTAGACTAATAACTGATGGATATTTAACATCGAAATAAACATGATGTAATTACATAGATAGATTGCAAATATAGTCAAAAAGAAACAAATATAATAGTATGATTATTCTGTTGTTGACTGACATTTGAAGAAGTATATATATATATAAGATAAATGAGAGACAGAAAGATTATCTATCTGTTTTGTATAATTTATTAACTCTATACATGATATCAGTTGTATAAAACAGAGAACTACTAAGATAATTTTATAAGAAATGCGTGCATATTTTGGAAGAATATAATTTATTGTACAGGATCATGTTTATTTTCTAATATGTCTATCTGTAATAATCAAAAAAAATTTTCTTCAATCTCAAATAAAAATGGACTTAAAAAAAAATCGATCTGTACATAGTTTGCTGATCAAACTTCGAATTATGTAGATTTTTATCCTATGTAAAATTATAGCACTTAGATTTCATCAAGTTTTATATCTAATTAACCAGTTTATAACTTTATTAACTTGAATAAATAATAATAAAATATATTCGTTTATTGTGCAGATATTAAATTGAACAGTGACAAATTTTTCTTTACTTTTATAGAACAAAAAAGACTTCTCCCTAGACTGTTCAATGTCTTTATAATGGAATTTTATTAGGTCACTTTGTCGATATCTGTTAGTCAAAATTTTCATCCTTTCACGTTAGGGATTCTCGAAAAATAAGTAATTTGTCTAGTATTCGCTGTCAAATCAATTTTTTATTTTTATTTTCAATTTCTTTAATTAGGTTTATCTCAATATACTTATACAAACAAAGAAAAAATTTTTTTTTTTCTTTTTCTTTGTCCGTAATGAAGACGCTAAGAAGATCTGGAAAACAGACTAATGACATAACTTTTATAAATATTATAAAACAGAAGTACTTATCAACTTTTCAAAAGGTAATGATGTTTCTAAAAAAAAATAGTCTGTTTTTACCTAAATAGATTCTATTCTCACTCTCAATGAGAAAAAAAAGGATTTCTCGTCTGTCGATTTTTTTTTATTAAAATTGCATAGATATTATGGCAAAAATTTGTACAAAGGTTGAGAGGTATTAACCCAGCTTTTTTGACTTCAATATTTTTAATTATTTTCTGTAAAACTATATAAAATGGTACCTGGAATTACTGTGGTTCCTTGAATTTTCTTAGTCTGAAATTTCATTTTGTTATTTCGTTTGTAGAATCCAAGAAAATTCTAGAATATTTTAATACTAAAAATTATCGAGATCGCGTCACTGATGACTATGAGCACTGGTGTTCTTTTCAAATTTGGTAAACAAATATTTTATTAAGTAAAAACAAGTTCAACATTCATTATTGCTGACATTGAATGGTATTTGTCATATCATAAATACTGACAGATAGCATCATCTTTCAAAATTGTCCGTTTTTGCGTAAAACATGATGGTGAAGCTGAACGAGCAAAACAGAAATTGAAGAAAAAGTCTATATTTTTTTATGTTCAAGAATGAAAAACTCAGTTTTCAAAAAAGTGATGTCCGTTAACCGAATGTTCAGTTAGAGAGATTTATTTCACAACATTGTCGGAATAGAAAAAATTTCTTTGAATACATAATATTGTATATTCTATATAAATGTGACCTTTTTCTTAAATAAAAAATATGTCTGTTAAGGTCAACAGTTCTAATATATCTGCCGAAGAAGAATTTTCCATTTGCGAAGATCGGAAAAGTCTGATCTTCAAAAACGACTTCATTTTGCACTATTCGATTACTTATTCAAAGTAGATTTCGCATGTCTGTAAATTAAGAAATAAAATCTATACAATATTCAAAGTGTAAAGATACACGTCACAACGACATGTGACAAAGAACTTTCATTTATTCCAACTGCAGCTAAAAACTTTTCTTTGACTTACTTTCGTTTCTATGCGCAGCATATACCCAATATATAAACTTATTTGCAAACAAAAAATATCCTCAAGACCAATCACTATTCACTCATATAATAATTAAAACGAGATATTTTCTCATTTTTGACAAAATAAAAATTTGCTCACATGTCTGAATTTTGTTCGATGACGATATAATTATGTAGTTGTCTACGATAAATGATGTAAAAAAAAATTCATGAATATAACAAACAATAATGAATTTCCTACCGCTTTATAGTGTTGACGTCAATGCTTTCATAAGATGTCTAGTTTTTCTCTTGAGAATGAAACAAATGACTCACTATATTTTACTTTAGCAGGACGACATAGACTGACATAGAGAGTAATTAAGAATAGTATTTTAAATTTTTGCAATATATTCAAGAGAATTTTGAAAAAACCTGTGCTAAGCAAACAGATGGATACGACTCTCGATTATCTACTAGCAAAAATTCTTATTGGTGTTAATTAGTGACAATCAATTGATGAAGATAAGTATTGATAGTTAATATCTATTTTGTTTTGCCGTTGATAGATATCCATTAGAAATTGATTGTCGCTATTAACACCAATAAGAATTTTTCCTAGTAGATGATTGAGCGAGTCGCATTCATCTATCTCCGTAGTACTAATTTCAAAATCAGACACTATTGCTAATTTTTCAAAATTCTCTCACTAAAAATTTAAAACACTGCCTACAACTACCCTGTGTCAGTCTATATTTCTTTCAAATAAAATAAAAATTGTTAAGTTATGTGACATTCTTTTCTCCTTTATACGTATTAAAAAATGTTAAATACATCTTACTGTACACTTTTTCGCTATTATTACTACTATTCATTTCAAACTAGAATACACTCGAATGTAGTGTACTTTGTTGATCTCGTTTTAAGGTCGTCCCATCCTTTTTATTCTATTTGTATTGCGTAAATAGCCTAAAATGTCTCCTGTCGATCTATAAAAGTCCCAGGTCGCTAGATAGCATGATTAGTAAAATCATATCATGATGTGAAGACGAGCTTGAAATGACATCAATATTGTACACCACATGGCGAAAATGCTAGAACTTTAATTTTTACATAAGTATGCAGCTCGAAGTATTTCCTTCAAAGTGGCAAAAATCACTTGCCTCGATCATCATTTGTTCAAACGTTATTCAAAAACTATACGAGTGTCTTATATATTTTGAAATGAATAGTAGTATGATTACACATCTCTTCTTGTTTTTAACCATCATTATGAAACTATACTTCTTTTGGTAAGACAATGCGTAATGACTGGTAATTACACATGTTCACATCTCGAAACAGACGGATATGTCGGTTAAATGAAGTGTTTTTTCTTTTTTCTGAACATAAAAGTTACATTTTTCAGTAATTGAAGTCAACTCTTATATTCAAGATGAAATTGAAATGATAAGAAGAAGAAAAAAGGATTTAATGATAGTCATTTTTATTCTATTTTTAGAATTACAGGTTAGGTTATATACAAACAATCGAGAAGACACGAGTCAGTACATGTGATATATCACATGCTGAACGTGTAACCATTGTATGCTGCGAACCCGATAATCCTTAAACTTCTAATTACTACGCTAAATATTTTAGATTATCAGAATTTAAATAAAGGTAGGTGAAAGACTCAGAAGTTTTGAATATTAATAAGTGATACTAAAACTACTACAATCAAATTTTGACACTAAGTTAACACCTCTACACTGACAAACAAAAAGGGACAAAAATAATTTTCTAGTTCAGAATGATTAGCGTTAGAATTGCTGCAGCTTTAGCTATGTATTGTTGCAATAATCTCGAGAAAACTCATGAGCGACAAACAATTTCCTCTACATATACATCCATAATTGTGAACTGTTGATACTGGATTATTATACACCTTCCCAATTCAAAAATTAAAAATATTACTAAGAATCGTATTAATTATTTCTAATTAGATTTTGGTAACCGTTCACTAATTACACAAAGTTCGAAAAGAGAGTTTCTTTTCATTCCTGTAGCCTCTAACTAACTAATTACAGACAAAAGTTCAGGCAATACACAATTTGTATGAGAAATAGAGCAAAAAATTATTTATAAAATGTACTCATTTTTCTTTGGTTTGCCTATGACTTTCATTAGAAATTTTATTTTTTAAGTTCTCATTTCAGGCATTTTTACTATACTGACTAAAAATTATTCAAACGAAATAGTAAAAATTGGTTGACATTAATTAACTTGAATGTCAGTTTAATATTATGAGAAAATTTCTGTATTGTGCTTTCGAGACTCTAGTGAAAAGAAATTTGTGTACACTTGAAACGAGAATTGAATCAATCTTCGTGGAGAGAAACATCAATTTTACTACATACATAGGTGTCTATCTTCTCTTAAAATTCAATATCATTAACTCATAACTGCTCAATTTTTCCACTATTGTGCTTTTATACTGAATACTATTTGAAATCTTTTTAAGATTTTACTTAAATTTGACTAAAATTGTAGACAAATCCTATGAAAATTGCCATTCTCAAAAATATGAACACTTTTGTAAGATCTTACAAGATTCTAGAAAGTGAAACTGATTGAAAATGCCTAAGATTTCCACTAGACTATCTCTCACTCTTTTGTTTTTTCTCTATCTCTTTAGGTGAAAAACATTGTTCAAATATAACTGTAAAATTTGTACTTACCATTATGGGATACATTGTTTTGTTATATCTTTCTTTTATGAAGAACAAGTGTTATATCGTACACGACTCTTTTTTGCCCTTATTCCAAAAATATGACGGGCATCTACTATAAACTTATTTCAATGTTCATCTCTACCATCATCTCTATTTATTTTTTTATTTTTTCATCCTTCTTATTCGTGATAGGTTATACACAAAAATAACTGGTTCGCCCTGAATATGTTGATAGAGGTTATGATTGCGTGATTTTTATATTTTTTACATGTTACGTCTTTTTTTTACTTGATCGCGCGTTCTTATCCTGGTTTTGGTGTTTTTACTGTTTCTTCAGGGTTTACTCGTTTTTTTTCTTCTTTGCTGCATCCTGTTTATTTGAGAATTTTTTTTTTCTTCTTTTTGAATGCTGTGTGACCTGTTCTGATGGGCACAGTAGATTTCACACAGAATTTGAGTTATGCAATATTGAGTTCCTCTTATGTCTTTCTTTCTTTTCATCTTTTCATTTTTCTTCTTTTTGTTTTTTTGTATTTTACTAGTCTTTTCTATTTTATTATTTATTGCATCTATTTTGTTTCTTTATGTATTTTTTTTTCCTTATTTTTTTATGTAATATCTATTTGTTACGTTATTTTTTGGCCTTCATTCTGTACAAAAACATGCTTTATTTTATCCATGTCTTCGGTTGTTTTATTCATTCCGTATTAGACTAAGATCCTTGATATAAAAGGAAAATAGAAGGACGACTGACGCGCAACAACATCTCTTTCTCATTTTTTTTTTCTTTTCTTCTTCTTCTCGTTGTCGTTGTAATAGACTGTGTTATTGTCGACAATACACCGATAAATTCTTCTTTTTTTTTTTTTTTTTCTCATTTCTATACTACACGAATAGTGATCGCTATAGATGCTTTAAACTAATTTTTATTTTTATTACTTTTCGATTTATAAATAAAAGAAAAAGGAAAAACTTCTCTTTTAATTTAGAAAGAAATCGAGCTATTATTTTCTTCGTTTCGTTGTCGTTATTATAGATCAATGACGTAAATTCATTATTCTATTTGAAGTATGTGATATGATGACTGACGTAATTCCTAATAACGACAGAACAACAATAATAATAATAAATTCAGTCGAAAGAAAAAAATCTAATAAAATAAAAAATAAAAATACGATTAAGAACAATATAACATATATAGTAGAGAGTATTGAACAATCGGAAACTAAGGAGATAAAATCAAAAGTATTTAAAAATGTGACTATAAAAAATAGTTAAGAGCACATTCAACGGAAACAATTGAAATATGATTTGCACTAAAATAATGTCTAATTTAACAAATAAACTTTTTAGTGTTTTAATTCAATTTGATTTTGTTTCATTAACACTATATATTTATAGCAAAAAAATAATAATAATAAGTTTTATTAATGTATTTCAGTTAGCAATCTTTTTGTTTAGATACTCTAGTTCTGTTCATTGTATAGACAATTCTCTTAAAAAAATCATTTTCAATCATATAATCTATTATTTAATAAGATAAATTGAAAGCTTAACTTGGTGACATACCGCAATTTTCAATTCAATTAATATATTCTTTCTAGTATATTAACATTTTTTTTTATCCAATATCTCTTAACATATACAGTTTAATAACACGTACAATATTAGACTTAATTTAATCATTAAAAATATTAGATATTTTCAATGTCATTTCTTAGATTATTGATATTTATCGTGAATCAAAAGACTAATCAATTCATACTTGATCTTACATAAATCTATCGCTTTATTAATCTTAAATCTTTAAAAAATGTTTGTACTTACATCATTGTTGAATTTCATAATAAATATAAATATTTGAAAAAAAAACCTATGAATATTCTAATCTTAGTTATTTCTCTACTCGTGTATTTTACACTCGTTCTAGTAAGTATTTTTGTTGGACATCATGTGAATATGTAAACAGAATGATATTGAACCGTTCGTTTTTTTCTTTTATTTTCAAAAGATATTTGGTAAACTATTGTTTAGTTTACGTAGTATATGGTTAAGTAAACGAATAGAGAGAAAAGAAAAGAAGAAGAAAAAAAAAAAAAAAGAATGTTTTTTTCCATATCGTACACGTAATTGAACAACATACACGAGTGACCCTTAGCCAAGGTCAGTAAAAAGAAAGAGAAAAATATTGAAAATGCAATGTGGACATACGGCAGATATAAGTAAATGTGTACATAAGTTTCTTCTCTTTTTTTTTTGTTTTTTCTTTTTCGCTCTAATCATGACGATTGAATGATCACAAAATGATGACCTTGAATCATGACCG